TTGGAGACGTTACCTACGGGTCACCACCGTCTCGCTGATCGCCTTACCATTTACGAATATTTTGGACTTGTATTTGACTTCAGTAGGCACCAGCCAGGATGCAGCAAAACCGCTCAGGACAAAAAATATGCAACATTTCTATACCGGCTTCTCTTTTCACATATGTACATTGACATCGTTAATTCAGTGTTCCACCAGTGATAACTAGGAGTTCGGTTTCTGAGGAGATTCGCTCTACATCTGAACACACCAACATATATCGAGATTGAGCTCCGCTTTGTGTTGATCAGGTCAGTTTAAAATTTTCAGTTTAAACAACTATTAAGCATGCATTTCACTGCGACGCTTTTGGTTGCTGTCTTTTGGCTGCCCATTTGGGTGAACAATAGGAGGAAAACAAGATGATTGAAAGAAGAATCGAAGAGAAAATTGAGATGTTCAGTGGACTAGTGATGCAGAGAAACTGAGAAGATACCCGAAACCCCCTGTTTACGACACTCAGCCATATCACTCAGTGTCTCTAGCCATCGGTTACGACTAGCCCGAGGTCCCCAGCCAGGGAGCCTAACGGGACCTATGACCTATGTGACCCAGACTCCTGGTAAGGGTTTCCATACCCTCGTGCCAGGTCTTAGCTTGAACACCCTTGGCTTTATTCCACCAAGGGGAAGAGGTTACCGCTACATCCAAGAAATAAAGTATACAGGAAGTGATCCGACTCTCATCCAAAAACCGATTTTGATCGATGACTAGGGTGTACCTATATGCATACAACTCCACATATACATAGGAAGCAAAGTGGAACAGAACCAAGCAATTTATAGATCTGCGTCGTGCAAGATAACTCACTTGTCAATATTACGACGCAAATCTGACGCTGTCACAGCACCTCGAACCAACAGCGCGGCTGCCAGAAACGTGTGACGAAACGGATCAGCAGAGACCAATTGGAAATCCCGAGTGAACGCATCCGAAAATGCTTGATCGATCCTATGGACGAGAAATAATAAATGGTGATTGTGGTGGTATTTGAATGAACAACTGTTCGAGAAAGGGATGCCACAACGGTACAAGATTGGTTTATTTTCGGTTGCCCGTTTTATTGTACTATAATTTCAAAGGACCGCTTAAATCCATTGCAGAGCAAGAGACAAAAATGGGCTAACATTATTCATCCCCAAGGTTTCATCTGTAACCCGATACAAAATTTGTCTTTATCGGTGAAGAGACGGGCCAAATACGGAAAAAGGGAATTTTTATCTATATTGATCCTAACAGGAATGAGCCTGGTTGAAAGGTGGGAATGACGATGAGATAAATAAAAATAAGGAGGACGTGAATTGTCAGCGAGGATGTGGTGAGCATAATTGTCGAAAGACCCTATTCGAGCATCAAACGATAGACTGATTAGAGAGGTCACGGTTGGGAGCTAAACGCGGCTATAGAGAGTAGTGAGATTTTCATAACTAAACAACAAAAACGGCTGGGAAACAAAAAGAGTAATGGGAAGGACAGTGACACAAAGGAAGAAGGCGAAGATTGTTTGACAGCGCCTTGTGGTAAATTATTCGCATGCAAGGACAACGGTCTCATTTTACGAACAACACTCAGGATAAAAGACCATCTCACATTTATTCACATAACATTGCTCGAATCAAATTAGGCGGAAAACTGCTTCGAAAATTCAATTTCGCCCATCTAGGGATGCGATTCGCCAGGTTAAGGAAGAAAACTTTGTCAAGTTTCTTGATTGGAGTCTAGGTCGAGTAGATAACAACCGCGTAGAAGGAAGAGTATCGTGTAAAGGCACTTCGGTGGGAAAGTATGTCAGAAAGACAAAAGGCCTCCTTAAAACCGGCTCATTTCTATGAGAAAATGAAATCCATCGAAGATTCCAGGGGTCTATTTGAATGTGCTGGAAAGTACGGGCAGTCAAACAAGTTCCGATTCCCCAATCTTATTGGTCACCTCCACTGTGTAAAGTAACGATATCGGTTATCACACACATTTCTCAGAACACGCAAGGCCTATTCATGTGTAAGGGCCACTTTTCCCTTGAACTGGAACGCAGTTGGTCACCATTGAATACAGCCTCCGCATCGTGTTTATTGGCTTCTAATTTTGGAAAACGAGCATTTGAGAATATAATATCGAGGTAATTCTGCGCTGTTGCAACAGAAGACTTCTAGACGATCAAAGTATTCTATGCGCAAATTTAGGGCCTCACCATCGCAGAAAACAATTGACCACAGTGACGCATTATACTCGACCTATCAGTTTCACGTCGGCGCCAAAGATGTTTCAGACCGGTGTGCACTGCGCGTGCCTTGGAAATACGGGCAGTTACCTCCCTGACTATGTTACCGTCATTTGCCACACAACTACCTAGGTAGGAGAAGCAATCCACTACTACTAATTCCATGTTATCAGGCAGCACAGCCGAGATAGACGACACCTATTCTGGCAGAATTGCTTTGAACTTGGAAGGCACAAAGCACTTATCTGATGGAGTAACAGAACCTGTTAGTCTGTCAAGCACGCTTTGTCCGTCCTCTATCCAGGTAAACGATGTCTTCAGCACACTTTAAATAGCACAGCTTTTATCCAGCTTCCAACTCAATACCAATATTTCGGAGATCACCCAGTGCGTTCTCAAGTAATTCACCAACAGGAATGTTGAAATAGTGTACCGTTGATAAACACCACTATCAGCTCCAAACAATTCGCTTAGCTCGCCATAAACCCTTAAGTTACCAAATGTATGCGATTACGGTGATCGCAAAAGGTCTATATATTTCTGGGGAGTTTCTTTGTGAAGTGAACCCATTAGGGCTTCGTGATCAACTGAGTCGAAGCCGCCTTTGAACTCAAGGGACACCGCGATCGGCGATGTGTACGGCGTAACTTGAGGACTTGAAGCAACGTGAAGATTTGGTCGATACAACCGCGACATGGTCGTAATCCCGCTTGATGTTCACGGATATTCGTATTTTCTGAGGGCGTCAGGGGGCGAAGTATCAGAGATGATGATAATGGTCATCAGAGCTAAACCTATCCCACGAGCAGTCGTCGTGTGATCCCTTCTTGAAGATCGCAGGGATCAATATTTCACCACAGGGTAAGGAGGCTCTTGCGATTAAATGCTGCGTAGCAAACTAGTAAGGCTGAACCACAGACGCATTCCGAAAGCCTCGCTATGGTCGGGGGTAGGAGTCTAGGG